AAGAAAGAAAGAAAGAAAGAAAGAAAGAAAGAAAGAAAGAAAGAAAGGAGGGAAGGAAGGAAGGAGGGAAGGAGGGAAGGAGGGAAGGAGGGAAGGAGGGAAGGAAGGAAGGAAGAGAGAGAGAAAGAGAGGGAGAGAGAGAGAGAAAGAAAGAAAGCCATGTTGCCCAGCTGGCCAGTTTCAGTTTGGTCACCAGGGAGCTGCTCCTTTTATACTCACAGAGGCTGTTGTTTGTACTTTGTCCTCTAAGAGGACCATGACATCCATTTCTCCAACAGCCTTCTCATTTTGGAAGATGCCTTCATACTTTGGCCTTCTCACCTTGAAAGGTCCTGCTCTCCCCGCTCCATTTTCAGGTCCCTTTTATGTGTTCCCCCCCCCATTAAAATGTAAGCTCCCTGGGGAGTGTTTCAAGAAAACATAACCCCAAAACTTATCACAGGGTCACAGAATCTCGGAATCAGAAGGGACAGAGAGGCCATTAGTCCGATCATCTGAAGAATTCCCCATTTACAGCACAGTCAATAAGCCATCATCCAGCTTTTCTTTTAAGATTTCTAGGGAAAGGGAATCCACTCTCTCCAGAGCCAACCCATTCTCCTTTTCAGCAGCTCTGATTATTAGTAAGGCTTTCCTTTCTTCCAGCCTGTAGTCCACCTCCTGGCATCTCCCACTCACCACTCCGGGTTTTACCCTCAGGGGTCACCTAAAACAAATGAAATCCCTCTTCTATCCAACAGCCCTTCAAATGCTAAAAGAAAGTTATTATCACCACTCCCCCCCCCCCCACCCAGGACTACACATTTCAAATAGTCCTGCACACCCTGGTTTTCAGGCTAATTCCCATCCTTGTCACCTTTCTCTGGACATACCAGCTTGCCAAAGTCCTTCCTAAAATATGGTGCACAGGCCTGACTCCAGTACTCCAGATATCATCTGATAATGACAGAGACAAACTGGACTCTTACCTCCCTTTTTCTGGATATCCTTCTCCTCCCTGGGCAGCCTGGGGTAGCATTGAGATTTCCCTATCTTCTTCATTCAAACTCTTGTCCAGTAATTCCTCTCCCATTCTGTTCCTGTTTGTGACTGGGGGTAGTTCATTCCATTGGAACCATGTTTATAAACACCTATTAAAGTACTTACAACGCCTTTTCTCAGAAGAAAGAAAGCAGTGACTAAGCCATTTTGTGTAAACCTTGATTAAAATGTTCTCCAAATTAATACTGATATGGTACCTGTAGGTATGCTAATGCTTAGAGGAGTTAATGCTAGTGGGAGGCTCATGTACCATTTTATATGGAATGGGCACATCCATACTTTGATGTATCCCCAGCTTTAACGTCCTTGCGAATGTAAAATTTTATGACTGATACCTATTAACCTTTCTTGGGCAGCTAGGTGGTGCAGTGGATAGAGTGCCAAGCCTGTAATCAGGAAGACTCAAATCTGGCCTCAGACATTCAGTAGCTGTGTGATCCTAGACAAGTCACTTAACCATGTTTGCCTCAGTTTCTTCATCTGTAAAATGATCTGGAGAAGGAAATGGCAAATCACTTCAGTATCCTGGCCAAGAAAACCCCAAATGGGATCACAGAAGGTTGGACACAATTGAAACAACTGAACAACAAACTTATTCTTCTTGGAGATGAGGTTGGTAGAAGAGCCCACCCTCTCCCATCTAGCTC